GCAAAATTTGATGTTTACACATTCGCTGTAGGTTGTGCCTCGGGTTGCCATGGCAATTTTAATAGATACTACTAAACCTTCTGCTAGAAACTTGTTTGCGTGTGAGACATTCGAATAAACTGGTAGCCCAGGCGAACGACCCTCACCTGAAACCAACCTTTCGAGTAACACCTTAGCTGTTGTTCTGGACCCTAGCCCTTATCAATATGACCTGCCCTCGGCCAAACAATCCACCTCACCATTCACGGTCTCAACATTTGTACTATTCACCAGCAGTTTTTTAAAGCCGAACTATTGGTGTCATTAAGAAACAGCAGCAGTGGACTATAACACAGAATTTCAGTGAATATATGATTAACAGATTGTCTAGTTTTCCGTCTGGAATGCAATTTCTCTTCACAGTCTTGGTCCAGTTAAGCCGAATCGTTACCTTGACACGCAAAGTAAATGCGTATGCATATGTTCGATTCTTAACTGTTCTCAAAAGTTTTAAAACAACGTACGGTTATCCAGTTAATCGGAATTTACTTTATTCCAGTGATAAAAAAATTTAAGAACGATTCTCATCTGAGTAACTATTAGCATTAAGGATCTCTTCAAGGGGAAGAAGCAAGGTCTAATTCATGCTTTACTTCTGCTAGAGGTACGTCGAGAAGAGAAGTGCCGACAAGCAAAGTGAGGACATCTGTCAGATTCAATTTATTGAGGGAGTTCAAAGGTATTTACCTATATTTCCCTCAAAAAAAACCTGAAAAAACCTGAACCTGAACATAGCGGCTGCAGAAATCTAGGAGTTAGCATCAGCCGCTCAAATTTCTCTTTAAATCTTCCTCTCATTATGAGACCTTAAATGTGCTTGCCATTGTTATGCTCTGCCCCATAATGACAAATGTTCCTGCGGTTGTATCATTTCCAACGATTTATATGTTATTGAGTTTACGCATCGAAAACACTTAGGACAGTTAGAAAGTATATGCTGGTTAAGAGTATAAAAAATCGTCGTTTGGGTGTATTCGCCGTCTCTATACTTTAATATTAACATCGCCCGTTTTATGGACGCGCAAACTGATAAATTCCTTAAGATTTCTATTCGAATTTTACTAACTCACAGCCTTGCAGAAATAAAGATCAGTCAGCTTGGTCGTGCCAGACCAACTGCAGTGTGGATTAAGCAGAGACAAACACCACACTGCAGGGTCACGGAAGCTCATCTAGTGATGAAGAACTACAACCTGGAATTCAAAGCACGTGTATGTTGATATAAGCCGTTTAAGTTAGTGTGGTTTCAGGTGCCGAATGTAGGCCATCGTGGCGATTTAGCAAACACGGAGAGGTTACGAGGAACTAGAAACTTTACATAAAAGATATTTTAAGCAAGCTTTATGCTGGATAAAAAGGCCGCTCAAACGACGTCAAATGCGATTGTTTGTTATGTGATAGCATGCGAGAACTCCAGATTGGAACACCAATCAGAACATCGAGTCCATATTCTATCGAGCAATCCGCATAAAAAATTGAACGCCGTTTCTATGGAACTTTAATTCTCCTCATTTAAACGCATGAGAAAAAAAACAAGAAGGAATTTCTGTTCGGTCACCACGGTAGCTCGCCGTAAGAACAAGGTGATGCGGACGTTGGTAACTGCTATGCACATTTGCGGCCAACTCTTGAACAATGAGAACTAAAGCCCCCCTAATTATCTAAATGAACACAATCTAACTTATCGAGCCAGTAGATAAATCTGGGCATCGTCTATAGAATTGTGATGGCATAAAAACTTTCATGGCTATATTGACATGTTATATTTATCATACTCAGTGGCAAAAGGTCTCGAGTTTGAATTTCGGCGATTGCCACCCTTAGGATTGGGTAAGACTGGCTCATGAAGGCTTATGAGCCGGAAATGGCCATTTCGGTCTACCTTGTCTTCGTCGGTTCCAATTCACTGCTAAAGATGAAAACATATATATATATAATCAAAATTGTCCGAATGTCACTACTACTCATAAGGAGGCCTTTCTCACGTATCCTGGTAGAATAAAAGACGTTTGCCCAAAGGAATATAGTTGTAGGCTGCAGTTTCAAGCAACGATTTGGGTTTTCTCCCTCAAAGACGCGAGAACCATGTGCTGAGCACATTGAGACTAGTACATTAGGGAGCTAAACAACCTCGTCCCTTGAACGCAATGATATTGAATAGAGTGTGACACAATAAACGATATAGACTGCTGATTCTGCGACTACAAGAAGACTATTTGATAATTTTTTCAAGCGGCTTGCCAGATATTATTTGGAAGAGTTCAGTTCTTTTAAGAAATAATATGCACGAGCCCTCAAACATCGTAACATTCGAAGGGCGTCGGCGGAAGTTGCCGAACTGCTTAAATAAGTGTTGAGCCAGAAAAACCTAATTTTGTAAAGCATAAAAAGACTCGGCATTGGCCCGGACGACCAACTGGCTATCAGTTGTGATCTGCATGTTTGCTTTCCAAATAGCGGGAAAATGTCTTCCCGAACAGGCCATACGTGCCGTGCCTGGTCAGGTAAAAGCACGCCGCTTAACCTCTCCTGCAAGCTGCGGAGGAAAAACTTCGTCCTCCTGGCCACTGACCCCTGTCGGAATTTTTTCCCCTAAAATAAATGAGCGAGGCACTTTCGCCAAGTGCTGCCCAGCAAGTTAGCATAAGTACCGGGATTGTGGACGTCCAATAAACTTTCTTCTCCACACAGATATCGAATTTTTGCTGGAGATAATTTCGGTCAATCCGATCATAGCGTGTACAGATAACCCTTATCAGTGAGGAAAAACAGCCGATAACTGGATGACTAGTACTCACGGAGTTGGTCTTACGTCAAGCATGCCTTCAAGCATGCGATAACCAATTCTTCCCCCGGGAGCCCCACAAAACTGAATTATATGAGAACAAGAGGATTTTCAGTGCATAGATTAAGCTAGGATTCCCAAAGTTCTACATAAACCATAAACTAGTTACTAGCTTAACTAAGATATTATTTTATGAATGTCTGACTCAAACTTTCTTTATTCGGAGAGAGACGGACAAGTATTTCCTTGTTGCTTGTGCCATAGAATGCATAAATGGTCTCTAATCCCTTAGTCCACGTGACTGAACATTAATTGGCTTGAAATTCGGATAGGGGAGCTAAGCAACCACGGCGTAGTCT